TGATTTAAAAAAAAAAAAAAAACAATATGCATTTAGACAGGTGCCACTGTATTTAACAAGATAATATAATTTATCAAAGCAATATAATTTGTCAAAGTAATATAATTTGGCAAAGTCAAAAAATATAAATTATTTATTTTATTGTTAAAATATTAAATAAGGTTTAAAAAAAAGTATACTATTTACAGTATAGTGCAAAAAATTTTGAAATATTATTTATATAATATAAATGGATATAACTTTTTCAAAAAAAAAGCAATTTATGTGAAATTTTAAATATGTAAACAATATATTTCAAACAATATATATAGGTACTATAAATTATTTGATCATTTTACTTTTGTTACAAACTTATTTTTACAATGTTACCTTTTTAAAAAAATACTCAATGATAAGTTATATTATATTTGTGAAATAATAAAATTACTTCTACATATGAAATATATTTCAAAACTAGTATAAATATGTCAACTATTTATTACAATCTCAAAAAATTGAATTCAAAAGACAATAATTCAAGAAAATCTGATAGTGGTCATTTTAAAAAAATTATAGCACATGAATCAAAAGCAATTAATTAATATTTATATCATAATTTAAGACTTTTCTCAAGAACTTTAATAATTAAATTACCAAATATTAATACTAAAATATTACATTCAACAATTTTAAGACATTTGGCTAATATAGATTACAAAAATAATTTACCTTTAGAAACATTTATGCTTACTACTGCTTATAAAGAAACTTATATTATTTGGATAAAAAAACATCTTGATAATAACTGAAAAAAAATATTATTTTCTGATAAAACAACATTTCTACTATTTAAAAATACAATTACTCAATAGTATAAAGGTGTAAGATCAATTAAAAAAATACCTAAAGATCATACTAAAATTTTTATATAGGAAGGATTTAATATAAAAGGAAAAACTTCTCTTTTTTTTTTAAAGAAATTATAAATACAAAATTTTATATCAAAATTTTGTAAAATTATAAACAAGAAATTAATAGACTACTTGAAAACAATTGACATTTTTAACAAGATAATAATCCCAAGTATATAAGTAAAATTGCTAAAGCATTCTTAAATAAAAATTTTTCTAAAATTATTGATTGGCCTTCTAATAGTTCAGATTTAAATTCTATTAAAAACCTTTGGACTATTACTAAAAGAAATGTAAAAATGAAAAAAAAACTCTCTCCTGATCATGTCCATTTTGTTAGAAATTTTCCTTTTATAATAATTTTAAGCAAGAAAAAATGTTTTACTCTTTTTATTACAAGTAAGCCCTAGTTCAAGAACTCAAGAATCTTCAAGACAACTGGTACAGTGGGATGGAACCTCTGGTTAAAGTCTATTCAAGTTTAAAAGTCTTGCTTATCCTTCAGTTGCATGAGAAAAGGCCCGTGACAGTTCTTTTGCATTCCTCTTTATTTTTATTCTATCATAAAAATCATCCAAAATACACACTCAAATAGAGTTGGTAGATCTATTGTTTGTTTCAAGTTAATCCTTATACACAATATTCTTGTAGCAATATTTGCTGCATCACTTTCATCCTCCAAAATTTTCTCATTCAAAAAACTAAAATCAGTTTACCCCTCCAGATAATCAGCACTCTTCATTCATCCAATCAAATTTTGTCTAATAATTAAAACAAAAACCAAACAAGCTCAAACTGGTTTTGTACTATAACAACAAATAACAAATAACTCACCACTAATAATCATAACAACAAACAACATCATATGTACTCTAGGATTTATAGCATGCGGAATAACAGAGAGTTGGGACCATGAGCCCACCAGGGAATTATTTTGTTCAATGTATGGATCTTATAATACATTTGATTTAGTTTTAGTTATAATCAATTTTATTTTTCTTTTCAATTTTTTACATCCAAAAAATCAAAAGAATTTGTAAAATTTCTTGAAATAGTAGGTATAGCTACTATTCAGTCTTATCTAATACATTAATCAATTTAATAAAAATATACAATAACAACTATAGTAACTTAATAGTATTTAGAATTAAACTACTTTTAGAAATCCTTTCAACTTGTCAAATACTTTATCAATATTATTTAGACCAATACCCAGATGTATAGTGTTCAATATATAAGTTTTGTACTGAGAACATATAATATAGTTTCAAGTACCCGAAGCCTTAGAATAGGCCAGCCAAATTATAAACAATATTAATCAAATTCTTTATTTAAACAACAATCCCAGACCAATCTTTTATATATAGTAAGTAATAGAACTGTCATATTATATGATTAACAAAATTTTCTTCATAGCAGATACTATCAGTTATATTAAAATATTAATAGAATTCTTAGTTCAATTGTATAACTTAATTTGAAAACCACATTGTAATACTGCCAACATATCATTTTTTATTGATATTAAGTGAAACTCAAGCAAACTATTAAGTACTGCTAATTTAATTAAGTCAAAAAAAAAACTACATTGCCTTTTCCTGTACATAACTTTTTTTAAAAAAAATTTTTTTTTATAGTAATTTTTCTTCAAAATTAAAGAAACAAATATTTTTTTTGCCTTTCAATATTCAAAAGTCCTTTATACCTTCTCTTTCTTCACTACAAGAACTCCAAAAAAATTAAAGAAGTATACTGGTACATCGGGATGGGATCTTTAGCCAGGGAAAAGCAAGTTTGAAGGTCTTGTTTTTTCTTTGGATTGCATGAGAAAAGACCTGTGACAGTTATTTCTTTACAAATCTTCTTTGAAGTTCTTCCCTATTATTCTTTTTTTCAATATACAAATCTTTTTAAATGATTAATTTTCTTGCTTGGAGGACTTCTTTTTAATCAAAAAATCAAACTTCATATTGAAATTGTTTATATTATTAACTTAGGACATCAACAATGTATTTAATACTTATTTTTTACTATTGCTCAACATATTCTGCTACGCTACTAAAAATCAAAAATTTTTACTCAAAAAAATTTTTATCCAAAAACTGTAATCAGTTTACTCCTGTCAATTGATTTACATTTCAAATTTAACCAATCAAATACTATCAAATCTCAAAGCAATTCCATATAACCAAAACACTATATAATGATTGATGTAAACAAATCTTATCTTGGCAATATCAATCAAAACAAGATCACATCACTACCAATCAATATATTAACAAAAATATTAACAATCACAACAACACCACATGATTTAAATAATGTATTAACAATACTATTATTTATTTTGAACAGTAGCCTGGCCATTTCTGGAAGTAGCATTTTACTTTAGTTGAATGGATCAATCAGTATGGCATGTCTAATCCAAAGCATTCTTTGTATAATAACCAGTTTTTTTTTTAATTTTTTTTTAATCATCACCAAATATCTAAACACAAACAATCATATCATCATCACTATAAACAATAACTCAAGAAAAAAACTATCAAGAAGATGTGTTATCAATATTGTTACATACTATAAGCTATAGCCTGGCTATTTTGAAAAGTGCAATGATACTTCAGGAGAGTAGAACCACCAGAACAATATTAGGCTTCATTTGTATTATAATTAGTTTTTTTGTCATTTTTCTTTCGTCTAGCATTTTCTTTTTTTACTTTTATATTTTCTTAAATTTTATTTCATATAATTCTAAGTAGGTATTTATAGCTAGGACTCCAAAAAGTATTGAACTGATATTAAACTGGTATTAAAATAGTATCAATCTATAGTAAATTTAATATATGAGTTGTAACTTATGCATATGTTTTTATAGTAAATTTAAATATCAAAGTGATATTAAAGTGATATCATTAAGAATCTTATTCATAGCTGTTTGACACTATTTTAGATGTATATTGATTTTAATATTTATTTTCCATGTCACTTAGATAGTTTCTGTAGACAAGTTAGCATTAGACTTATTAGCTTGGTAAGTTATATAAGAGATGTTATTACTTTTTCTATATATAAATTTTAACCAATTTTACGATTAATAAAGTGATGATGTTTACCTACTTAAAAAAAAAAAAAGAATAGAAAGCTGTATAATATAACTAATTTAAAAAAAAATTTATTACAGAATAGAAAAATATTGAATTTAATAAAATTTGAAAATTTTTATTATTTTTTATATACTGTATGTATAAAAAAGAAAAAATAGTATTAAAAAAAAAAAAAACAACAATAAAATATTTTTTATTATATTTAGCTTATTATATAACACTTTCACTTACCTTGTACCACATCCTAAATGCCTCTTTTGATCCTACATGATTGGTAATCATAACATAATAACGACAGACCTATCAATTATACCTCCAATATTATGCTTAAAGATTATGGAATATATTGATAAAATTTTTTTAAAAGTAAAATAAAGTATTCAATTCAATAATTTTTAGTCACATAAAAATTGCCTTAATGCTGTGCCACCTATCTGTACTTATTTGTATTGTTTTAATTTTAATTTTCCTTTTTATCTTTATTCTTTTTTATAATTCTTATTAAAAAGGACGACAGAATGTTTCTTTTTAGTTGTACTGGTTCAATATAATTTAGTAAACACGTGACAACGTATTATGGATTTTTTGCTATAATCATTTGCACAGGTCATTATGATAAAATAAACCGATTTTTTTTTTAACTGGGACCGTATATCTGGTTCCATGTTAAATTTACACGATTAATTAAAGGTAATATTTTAATGAACCTTTTAAATCAAGACAAAGAGCATGACTCCTTGACGACGGAGCGTTCCAACAAACAAAGGTTTGTGCAAATTCGATCATAATTTTTGACGTTGCCGCCGTTGTGAACAATTTTATTTTTTATAGCATAATTTTCAATGGCATAATTAGGTTTTTATCATACTTTTAAAATGTCAAAAGACATTCGTTCCATTAAAATAAAGTAAAAAAAAATTCTATGATGTACAGTATGTGGATTTTAAAGTATTTTCGACTAAAGAAATACTAGACAGAATTTTCGGAGTTTATAAAACATCATGTCTTATACCCTCTTATGGGCGACAAATCTGTGATTTTTGCTGTATGTACGGTAGTAGTTGATTTCGCCTTCGAATTCTCTCATTAACTTGTCAAATTCTTGATCGTTTATGTTCATTATCTCTTTTATGGGCTTTCGGACTCCTTCAAAGAACTGGAAAAATGTTTGAGCGGATAGTTCACCTGGAAAATTTGAAAGGTGATGATGGTTAAAGTCGTGAATGATGACGGAGCATGATTGTATTATTTAAAAAATTGATTGACTTACCTATCTTATCTCCCCATGAACCGTAGGGGATATTTTTTTGCTCGTGCCGAATGCTCTCATATTTCCCGGTGGATCTTATGAAGTCACCGATTTTTCTTGACATTAACGGATCAATGTTTCTCGCGTAAAGTTCCTTTTGAACTGGTTTAATTCGGAAAAATTAGTCAACGACAAACGACCCAAGTAAAAAGAAAAGGGAATGAACGAATAAAGAATACCTACCAGCATTGCACAGCTTCTCCAATGATGGCGACATATTATACCAGATAAATTCGCTATCATAGCATTCCAAATACCCGCCCGGTTTCAATAACCTCGTCAATTCTTTTATCACTACATTTTCCCATTCCTCTTGCGTAAAATACATCACCAAAAATCGAGCGTGTATATAGTCAAAGGAGGCATCCTCAAATGGTAATCCGTCCATTATGTTTGCCACGAGAAATTGGGTGTTTCGGGGGACTTGAGTTGGAAATATTGGGACAAAATCAACTCCGACAAATGTTGACGACGGAAAGCTGGACGCAAGATCAAAGCAAAAGGTCGCCGGACCACATCCAAAATCAAGCACTCTGAAATTTCCGTGCCTTAACTTTTCATCGATGGGGGCCGAAAAGTTACCATCCCAGATGGTTCTCAGGATGTGATGCTGCGTTTGCATTCTATCAATTTGCGTTTCGTCAATGGTCATCATGTAAGGATTGTCGAAATTATATTCCTCTTTGTAACTGCTCATGATGTTCGTACTATAAGGGGCGTCGGCCGCCGAAATGGAGTTCCTCTTGCCTCTCTTTAACTTTGAACCATTGTGTCCCATTGTTAGAATTGAAAAAAAAAACAAAAAAAAAATTAAGAGGATCAAAGAATGTAGTGGTGTGGTGAGGTGGGGTAGGGGTAGATCTATTTCTATTTTTTTTTAATTTTTATTTTATTGTGTATATAAAAAAATTCTATACTTCTATATAAACTATATACTGTTTGTATATTTTTGAGAAAAAAAATACATATTTTTTTAAAGTCCGCCGGAGGATTATTTATACATTTTCTTCGAGTCGGCCGCAATAAGTAAAGAGTACTTTTTTGATGTAATAATGTCTTGTTGAAACCTGCAGGGTTAATTACCTGATTACGTTAAAATAAGCAAATCCCTTTATTGCCATTAATACAAATCCTGTTAAACCAGGAAAATCCTTTATTATTGTTGACAAATTCTGTTTCGATTCTCGGAAAATTTTTTCCAAGCAACTCTCTGTGACACCGGGTATTTCGAATTGAACATGTGTGGCATGTCATTTCTCGACCCTAATTTCATAAGGCGTGCGATCAAGCAACACCGCACGTATAGGAGGGAACACTCGAAAAGGGAATAATAATCTAGCCTGTTACATCAAGGTAAATTATGAAAAATTTGCCGGAAATTGTTTGTTGTTCTAATAGATATTCTTTGGTCTCTTAATTGCATCTGACGAAACAAAGAATCAAATCCAATGTTTTCCAAGATGTATGCGTATATAATGAATACCTAAATATAGGACATCTTCCTTATCTCCTGGTGTGACATGCTTATCATTTTTTTTTATTCATGTGCGTACACGTACGCGTATGTGTTGTGCCCAAACGAACAAAGCGATGATTATTGATGATTGTAATTCGGCTAGTTTCGATTGGTTCTCGATGCTTACGGAATTATCGAATTAAACAATGACCCATATCTTTCGGACCTCATTGTTCCTGACTAAACATGGCACGATTTTTGCCACATGCACATATATGTATTAGTTTGTTATTTATAGCAATGACATCACGTTTGCAGATTTTTTTTTTTTTTTGTGACATGTGATAAAACAAATCCCGGGGATTCGAATTTCTCGGAGAGTACACGATTGATTCAACGAACGCACGCACGCACACATGTTCATAGTGATGATTCACCATCGCGTAAGCTCTGTATGATCTAAAACTTGGAACATGCAAGGAATATGATGTACATATTCCATTTCACAAATCGTACGTGCGCACTCGGGAAATAATAACAATCACGCGCTAATTTGCTATATTCTGCATAAGATCACCTTCTAGAACAAGTAAGCACCTTTGGGTCGAGGAAATTTAAAACCTCGACTGACCATTAGACAATGTAAATATCCATATCTATATACAGTATACACAGTATAGATATAGATATATATATATAATTCATTTATTGACGACATAAAAATCTCATTCATGTATTACGTCGATGTTTACACAGTGGTATGTATGCGCCTCGGCACCAACGAAATTTCTTCTGTGACGGAAGGAAAGTGGGTAATATGAAGGTGAGAAACAAAATCCTAAAATTTATTCACAGGACGCCGTCGACTAAGCTGTTTCAGAGCCTGTACCTCCTTACTCTCGAAACAGCATCCGATAATGGGAAGTTAGGTTGATGCCTGTTTCTGTTCGATAGGTAATTAATATATCATAGGAGACGCCAGAATGTGGTCATGCATTCTGAAACCAATTAGATCTCTACGAGGTGAAGCTGGTTCACGGTCATCACCACCATCACCACCACCGCCACATCCTCTCCTCTCCTTCCTTTGTTTTTGCAGCAACGTTACACCACCTGTGAGAACAGACATTCATGCCTTTTGACGTAATAAGCATAGCATGCAGACTTACTCGACGGGAATTACCAGTCAGCCTTTGATTAACGATAGTTGTTCCCGTGGGCATGAAGGCCGAGATAAACTGCGTCGTCAACTAACGTAAGCATTAGATCTGATAAGATCTGATAAGATTAGAAATCTGATTTGTGAAGGTCACATCCTTGAGGCCATTTTACCGTGGTTGCCACCCTCGGACGACTTGAACCATTCATGATCGCGCGAGAACTGAAACTCTCTCTGCGAGATCTAGGTAAGACAAGATTCAAATAAAGTCCTTTCTTTTCATGAGAAAAAACTCACCAAAACTATCACATGTTGGTATCATATCATTTCATATATACAGTATATGATGTACGGTACATGTATTTGAGGTGGTGTAGCATCTTGTTTTGTTGAAGCCACGGTTACTTTCTAAATTTGGTTAGCCAGATGACTTTTGGGTTGGTCCTTCTACGTTTATCCTGCACAATTTCTAAATAAGTCATCGCACACAATAGGATAAAAATAAGAAAAAAATGCGAAATCTACGATTTAATTTAGCAGGGTCCGTTAAAAGTAGATGCACGTACCGAAATTGATATCAAGGGAAATATTTTCGGGAAGACCATTAAGAAACATTGCAATTATTTTAACAATAGACGCGTTAACCGGTTCACACGCATTTAATGTATCCGGAAAATCTCTACTCTAAATGAATTTATTAGAGTACTTTTCAAGAATTACGGGCGTTGTCTCGTAGAGAATAACAAACTCTGGGACATCGTGTGTACGACACGGGTTCCAAAATAAAAATTTCAGGGTTATTGTACGTGAAAGCACTTACCGATACGATTTTTATCCGACGTACGCCTACATTCGAACTTGCCTGCGTTATTTCTGCGTAAATACGTGAGTGTTTGGAGTGAATTGACCAAAAACTCCGAGCGTTGACGGTCATTACAAATCCAGCAATGACGTAAGGATTACTCGAATGATTCGCTATTCACCAAACGATAGGCAGACCACCTCTCACGCCACCATCGCCTTCCCTCGCACCACCGCCACCACCGCTTCCTCCAAATGTTAAAGAACGGTAAGTTTGATATCTTCTCGATCGTTTTTGATGAGAATAATGACGAAATATCGCAAACAAATCACAGACCATATGAAATTGCCCTATCTGGTCATAATTTAAAATGTTTCACAAATCGTCTATTTTGGTGACTCCTCAAGACGAAGCGTGCATGAGCAATACAACAGTTGCACAGATACCACAAAAATCGTGTATCGGCCCCTTGTTCTTACATGGTTGTGTGCTCGCTGAGAGAGGATGAGATGCAATTTCATACTTACACGTCATCAATCTCATTACAAAAGCACCTTGACTTCCGAAGAAGCATGCATGACGGACAGTATGCAAATTAACTTCATTCATTTTTTCTTTTTTGGTTAAAATAGGTTTGACTTTCTTTTTGTTCCTTCTTTTTATCATTAACTTTATTATTTATTTATTTTTTTTTGTTTTTGTTTTCGATATTTCTGCGCCGAGTCTTAATTCGAAATGTGGCACAGATACGTGCATTCCGGTGCCTTCGAGTCGCAATTGATGATTTAGATAACACAGTAAATAAATAAAAAGCAATGACCATCTAAAAAATTTTTCATCTTTCCTTTTATATTAAACCAGATCCCCCCATTTTCATCATTAAAAAAGGTTCCCTTGTGTAGTCTGGGTCTATACTAAAGCATGTATGCACTTTTTTTGTGTTATAATTATGTAAAGTGTTGTTTAGATGCGATGAATAACGAATGGAATTTGTCAATAATCAGCAAAGTTGTCTGATTTATACTGGTGTGATTTTATAAACGGATAACGGACCACCAAATATATATGTGTGTATGTATATATATATACCAACTGACGCCGAAAAAGTTCGCGTCTATATTTTTTTTTCCACTTTCCAAATTCCATTATTCACTCTTCATTCTTTTGTCAATATGAAGCGAACCTTCGGTGAGCAAATTAATAATTTATGAATTTCGAATTGAATATGGATAACGTACTGTATATTAATATTAAAAACAATGACGACAAAAAAAAAAAAAAAAAATGACCTTAGCAGACTTCGCTGGTACCACTTCGTTTCCCCCACACATGAATTTCACTAATGTGGAATTCATGAATTCTCTAACGTGAATTTTGTGAATTTATCTAATGTGAGATTTTATGAACTTTCCTATAACGTGAGATTTTGTTATGAATTTCTCCAAAGTGAAAACACAATGACTCTATCTTTTGTCGGTTATCATCTATCATTGAAAAAGATCAGAATGACAAAAGCTTTTGACTTTTTTTTTTACATTTGACCTAATTATTTCTACTTTTCATATTGCTTCAGGTCGAGAATGTAAACATAATTACGCGAAATGATGGTATGTGTCGAATTCGGTTCAACCAATGCTTCGATTATTAAATGAGCTCATATTTTATTATCTTTTTCCTTCTTCATTGTAGTCATTTGATGATGCATTCTCTTTTCAAAGTGGATTTAAAGATTCGATCACACGCAAAAAACATGGAGTCCAACCTTTTCATTCCTTTTTTCATGCCGTGTTTATTGTTTACCTTTTTTTTTTGCATTTCTCTTAATAAAAAAAGAAAAAAAAAAAAAAATCCCTTAATAATTATTTAAATTTTCGGAATAATCAAAAAGCTTAGTTTTTTTTTTTCGAATCTCGTTTTTTTTCTTTTTACCTCGAATATCTTTACGCATTTCGGCTTTATTTTTCGACTAATTCTTCCTCGCCTTTTCTTTTTCGGATATTTTTTCGCTTATCGTTTTTTTTTTTTTTAAGTTTCCCATAACCGAATTTCGTCAACTGGTTATGGGTCTGTTTGTAAGACGTATTATTTTATTATGTATATCACACACCTTTCGCATCACACGCGTAGAATACATCTACTAAATAAAATGGGGTCAATTGAAAAAGAAAAAAGAATGAAATTCGCGACATTCGGATCTCAGTTTCGCATGGTTTATTACACGTAAAACCGTTGGTGACATATGATATGCGCCTTTCATCAGTAGGACATCCTTACCTTGAACTTGGAGGATTTGATGTTCAATTCTTATTCCCATTCTCGACTTTCAATCAAAAAGACATCAGTGACGATTATCTACATTCATGTGAAGAATCAAACTGTACGGGAACTTTAGGATGAACAACCCAGGTATAAAAAAAAACATCAGCATGCTTAATTGGTTGTTTCATTGTGTAAATCAGAAAAATGAGACGAAGAAAATGTCCGATAAGATTGTATGATCTCTTCTGTATGATCGGTGGAACCTTTGCGAAAATGGTATATCCGGATTACCAGTGAAAAAAAGAAGAAAAAAAATTGGAAAAAAGTTCATATCGAGATTGAATAGCGTCTAACTTATTGAATAACCACGTTTCTTATTAAAGAAGTCTTGGATGAGGAAAAACTAACTTTGTACAACTAACCGTTACTGATAAAATGATTGATAAATACGGCGCGAATCGCTAGTTCAAATCAGGTAAACGTATATAAAAGATCGTCAAGTAAACACAGGATCGTAAATTAATCACCTTTTTGATGTTATGAAGTTCACCCTCGTCAATGTATGCTATATTGGCCCGACACTAACTTTGGGATTTTTGATTAATAGATAAATAGATGGTCGTCATTGTTCAAAAATACATTATCTTCAAAAATAATCATTGTCACTATTTTTCATTGCAAAATTGTCAAGATCTTTTGTGTGAACTCGGGATCAATAACCTCCGGACTTAGCATCAACCACATAGAGTCTGTCTATCTAGATTCGTACACATGTTACGAACTCCAGAATCACATGAAATCTTACATGTAATAAAACTCTTTGTTGATTACTGTCACGATCAAGGTTATGATTAGTTGGTATACATAAAAACTTTTGTAATTCTAAAAATAAACTCTTTTCACCAATGATGTTACATTACATTATATTCTTTTGTTTATGTTTTACGAATTCTCGATAACATACACTGTATAATATCATCATCAACATAAAAAAAATTGAAAACTTTGTTTTTATTTGATGCAATAGGAATTTTGTTTGATTTGATTGATAGTGATTGACTTTATCTATTGAATAATACATTGTTCATATAAATCCATATGTTAAATAATTGTTAAATAATAATAATAATTTTTTTTATTTGATTATAATATTAGAAAAAAAATTGTTTATCATTATCAATTCATAATAATCATATATATCCAAATGAAATAATATTTGATTTTTTTTTTTTGTATATATATAACATATTTTTTTTATTATATACATGTATATATTTTTTGTTATATTTTTTATATAATAAAAAACGGCAATAAATAAAGTTTATTACTTGTAACAAACAATTATCTCATTGTTATTAATATGAATTTTCAAATTATAATTAATAATATAATAAATTTTAAATTTTAAAAATAAATAAAATGGTTTGTACAATAATACTAAATAAATACTATTATTATTTATTAATTAATAATTATAATTACAAGTAAACCAACTAAATATAAATAAATGCTATTACTATTATCAAGTTAATAATAATAATTATAAGTAAACTTGTTTTTTTATATTGCAAAAAAACTATTTTTTAACATTTTATTTAACTTCAATTGTTATTTATTAGATTGTAAACACAAATATAATTTTAATTTTTTTTTATATCTTGTATATACTATATATATGTAATATCAAGAATATTAAATTTTTTTTTATAAAAAAAATATTAATTTTTCTTTTCAAAAATAAAAATTATTTTTATTAAAATTACTTTAATGTTTATATATATATATATATACAGTATGGAACACTTGCTTTTGAAAAAATTTAATTAATTATAATTTAATAAAAATTTTATTAATATAATATAAAAATTTAATCATATATTTTTTAAATAT